TGGTATACTTAAAGTCTGCTAAATTGGAACAACTAATTTTGTACTTAATGCACTTTAATTGTGCGGAAGTAGTGCTGAAGTCCAACGAAAGATATACTGAGGTATATTTGATTGTGCTAAAGTGGAACTATTGCAAGTATACTTCAGGTACACTTTAAATATCTTGCAATTAAAGACCGATATTATTCAAAGATCATACAGTCCTCATCAATATTGACATTAAAACACAATTTAGCTATAATATTAAGAAATGTGCATTGTGCAATAAAGAAATACTACAAATATAATTATAATTTTATATCAGTAAGCAGTGTTGGGGGTACAAGTAACGCGAGTAACATAATCAGATTACTTTTTTCAAGTAACTAGTAAAGTAACGCATTACTTTAAGTCTTAACTGATATGTCTATAAATATGTTAATGGTTTTGAAGTATGAAATAAAAGTATTTTAAATAAATTATGGCATAGGTTTTTTTTTTTTTTTACTCTTTCTCTGATCTTATATCTTTACATAAACACAACATATCTAAACCTGCCTACAAATCATTTAACTTTGTCTTTTAATCTAACCAGGGCCATTGCTAAAATCCATAAGGCCCAGGACAGCATTTTATGGGTGGATCCCCTCTCCCTCGGGCCCAATGGGTAAATGATACCACAGAGGCCCTCTCATCAATGGGGCCGAGAAAACATTGACAGCAGCCCTGTACGTACCCCTCCTTTTTCCTTTCTAATTTCTGTACTTGAACATTTTATTTATTTCTATGCCTTTAACTGCAGGGCTCATGGGAGTTTTTGTAGGCTTTATTTTGAATGTTCATAGCTGTGTGTATGTCTCTGTGTGGATGAAATGCCACAGTTTCCTTGACTGTAATGTGAGACAGAATCAAATTTACACGCATTTTAACTGGCTGAACAATTGCTCTGGGGTTTTGGCCCCACATTACCAAAATGAACTGAATTTGTTCTGTCCACATGTGACGTAAATACTGGATAGTGGTTACACAAATTTAGTTTCTGATGAAATATTCCACATTGCTTGTTATCTAAATATCTTCTGAGGTCTGTGAGATCTCGCGGCTGTCCCGCGTGACGTGCTCAGCTCGGTCTCGTGACAGACTCTTGATTTCCCGCGCATGTTTTATGGTAAATGCGCTTGAGTGTGAAACATTTACAATCCTGTTAAAGCATTTACCAGACAGTTTCTTGACTTGTGTTAAAGCAGACAAACAAAAACAGAGGAACAGTATATATTTAGAAAATATTTACATGTATATACATTTATATTCTTATATTTTATATTATATATAAATATATTTAATATATAAACATAACATATTTGTCTTAAATACATTTTTAAAATTTGCCACTATCCTAGGTTTTGCCCATTGGTCAGTGAGAATTTTTTACTCATTTAAAACACAAAAAAATTTAATATGCTCCCTTATTCTTTTATATATTTTTATATGTACACGTCAGAATAAGCATGTTGTTTGAATTTTTACATAACTATAAGTGTTACACTGAATGACAATGGAACATTATTTCAACCAAATGTTGACATTTTATTCTTCAAAAACTTATTTGAAACCTTAAATGTAGACACTTTACTTGCATTTAATGTGCTTTCTATGGACATAAAATCACTTTTGTAAATTTCTTTTGATGCGGACAACTTAACGTCTGACCCATGTATATGTGCGTGTATAAAAGTAGACACTTTACTTATACATTTAATGCTTTCTATGGGCATAAAATCACTTTTGTACATTTCTTTTGATGCGGACATATTAACGTCTTTGACCCATATACATAATAAATATACACAGTAAACACACATATGTTATGTAAACAAAAACTTTTATTTTGGATGCGATTAATCGCGATTAATCGTTTGACAGCACTAATAATCATATTTGTTATAATTGCAATTAAATATATATTAATTTTAAATAATGATAAAAAATAAAATATCACATTATTTAAAATATTAAATTATATTATATTATATTATGACTTTTATTTAAATATATTCATGGTTATTTTATCATTTTTGGCCATATTTTAAGGTCAGCTGGTTGTTTTTGAGCATCTTTTTTTTGTGTTTTTATTAATGACAGAGGTATTTTCACATTCTGATCTGTAATATCTGATCAAGTAGATGTATAATTATAGAGATCCAGGGCTCACAGGCCAGTCTGTGTGTTTAAGTGTGTGATTCAGCTGGTCTAAAATGTACACAGGCAAGGCTGAAGTCAGTTTCCATCTGAAGTGTGTGTGTGTGTGTAAAGGTGCTTGTGAGTGTGTCGGAGTGTGTGTTAATGCACGCTCAGCCTGTGTGTGCAGGAATGACTGGTTTCCTGACTTTGTACTGGAACACAATTATTCAGAGACCAGAAACCTGCTGCCGGGATTCTGAGGCCTTAACAATCATTTACCTGCTTACTGCTTAACTAACACAATCTCTGACCTTCCTAGTTCATATGTGAAGAGGAAAAGATGCCACAAAATCTGCGGTTTACACCTCCAGTCACTGATATTCTGATATCCCTTTACTGTTCATAGACAATATTGACAATTGTTGTGGTATTACAGCTGTAGTGTGTTTATTTACAGTCCCTCCCTGTACAGAATATTTACATGTACCATTTCAGTAATTATTTGTATTTAAGATATTGCACAGATCAGAATGTTTGAGCTGTAAAAGTATTTATTTATTGCTTTTTTTTCTCCATTCTTACGTTTTGCAAGTGCTAAATATTCATGAGCATTGCTAAAAGCATTTGAGTCACTTATTAACCTATGACTCACAAATGCACACTCATGTTTTAGGATTTCATTGAGAGTTTATGTAGAAAAGGTCTATTTAAGACCTCATACATCTTAAAGAATGCTATAAAATTAGTAGAACAAATTTTTCATTTCTATATTTTATTAATGCTCCTTCATTTATTGCAATTTCAGTGCTGCTTTGCAAAAATTAAATAGATAAATTAATCGGTCGACAACTTTTCCTAATAATATAGCATTTTGTCTGTAAATATTATAATATTTACTTCTGTAAATATCACGAGAATGAATGTTTTGAATATGTTTCAGCCACAAATTCTTAAAAGTGTGCATTGTAAAACATGATTTAATACAATATTTACTGGAGTGCATTTTACAAGAAAACTATTTCACTGTTTATACTTCAAAATTTCCACCACGGGATAAAAAAATAAAAAGGTAATTTACTTTTATCCCACAATTCTGAATTGTTCTCACAATTCAGAGAAACAAAACTTGGAACTGCAAGAAAAAAGTCAGAATTGTGAGATAAAAATCACAATTACCTTTTTTATTTTTATTCTGTGGCGGAAACAAAATCTTATATCTTGCGATTCTGACTTCTTTCTCAGAAATGCAAGTTTATATATTACAATTCTGAGTTTATATCTGATTATATCATTTCGACTTTTTTCTTAGAGTTTATATATAGATTTTATAGAGTTTATATATAGCCACAACTGGGATTTTTTTTTTAATTATTTGTGGCAGTAATGGGTTTCCATAGTTACTTACTGTTTCTTTGTAATTAATTGTGAAATCTACTAGCAATTTCTGAGTGTTTTTCAAATGTTTTTCAGTGTAGCAGTTTGGTTCATGTCTAAGTCGAATCTCTCTTTAGATCAGTCTGCAAATGTTTTTCTCGGTTAACTGAGAT